GCTATGCTTCGAGGCCTACTCTGGATCTCCAGAGCGAAAGCTGGTTGTTTCTGATACGTACCACGCATTACCTTAGGTTGAGCCGTGGCTTTTAATTTTTTTGGGAAGTTCACTGCTTTGGAGACGACGGAATGTCAAGGTAAGTTATTCACGAAATGTACTCAACTTTGAATTGAGTAAGTGCGAATGACACCCTGTTTTCGGAATAGTTCTCCACTAAACACACCATGCCCATGGCCCCTTCATGTTGTCCAAGTTCCATTCTCGGTTTGTGTGAAGTTTCGAGATGAAGATCGATGATGCACTCACTTTTCCATGGAAGGGGAAAAAAAGTAGCATATCAAACAGAATCCATGCAGCATTTGATGCCACTATCCTCATTCTTCTGCATTCAAAGTGTTTCACATTATGGTCCATGAACTGCACACAATATTTGTCATTTCTTTTAAACTGTTCATCGCTGTTCATACTTGAAGTAACTGTGTTCTGCACATTGCGTTCAGGAAACGTAAGGCCGAGTCGCCTGACCGACTGAGCAAAGTTCTCTGCGACGAAAGTCACACAATCGGCAAATGCACTCAAGGCGAATACCCGTGAATACCCTGTATACTGCTTGATCCACTTATCACAGAAGCATACACACACACGCACGCACACACATACCATGCATACGCCCGACGCAAGAGAAGAACGAAAGTCTGCAAATGCACTGGATGTGCACCCACAGATTTTCTCTTATAGCAACGATAGCGAACAAGATCTGAATGAGACAGATCAAGACTTGCACCAGATAACTGTATAATCCACACAACTGGCAAAGCCATGTGAATCGACCACCAATGCACAACACACATACACCTTTGGACCTTTGGATGCCCATTGCTCCGTGCAATGATAGCATCAGGAGTTGCAGTATTTCCTGTGGCGAGTTAGATCATTGGGCTGACGGAAGTCCCTGCCACAGCCGCAAATGAACACTCTAGGCTTTGGCACAGCCGCACACATATGCACACACACACACACACACACACACACACACACACACACACACACACACACACACACACACACACACACACATACACACACACACACACGCATGCTCGTGCAACATTCACATGTCACTGCTTCAGTTGTTTTTAGCTGTGTCATATTGTGTCTTATACAGAGCTTCACTTTGGGAAAAGCTGTTGAGATGCTGAAGAGCACTTGTTGCCATGCTTGCGAAATGCCAGCACCATTGCATGCCTTCAGCTGGCACACTTCCTGGCGTAGCAGATTTCCAAAACCTGATGCCTTGTGTAACTGTGTCCTGAGAACATGCAGGAATGACTCCATCGCATCAGCAGTGCTGCCAAATAATTTTCGCCCAAAATCGGACACCCTTCATCGCCAAGGCTGGCTACATGGTGCGAATTTTTCTCCTCTGCAATATTTCCGGAGAATTCAAAATACCGCCCGAAACACCATGGAAATTCGCTTCGTTGCCATGGTAACCGATCTTGCACACCAAAGTAATTGGTTGCCATGCCTGAATTTTGTAATCCTGGCAATGCATGAGCGCGGTCACACACTGTACAGTGTACATGCCCTCGTCCTTTGCACTTCCACCGCCAAGCGCTAGCCTTTTTAAAACACATGGCCTGCAGTCAGAAAAAAATGAGTGCAACCCTTGTGCAGTGGTCACGCCAGCTATTACTAAAGCTGCTGCACCCTGGCCGCGGGTGCAGCGAAACGGTTGGGTTTGCTCCCACACTGGAGCTCGCGCTATTCCGCCGACTTGACTCGACACTTGACTGACTCACGACTGCCGTCCAGAGCACACGAAAAGTGCATCGAACCTTCGACTCGGCAAACCGGCAAGAAAGCACCACTCCCTGCTGAATACACAGTGTTTCGGGGAATTCACGCCTCATCAGTTGAGCTTGAGTAGGCTGAAGAAGATTGTGGCTGAAGAGGCAAAGTGGCAACACACTGTTTATACTTAATACTGTATAAGCAGAGATATTCGTCTGGAATTTAATGTCGTCTTTTCGTCCAAGACGCTTTTGGACTAAATTAAATGCCAGATTAATGTCGATTTGCCCAGCTTTTCTATACACTCTTATGATCCATGGACGAAATTTTCAACCGAACGAACTCCCTTTCTTTGGAATAGGACGAAATTATTGACAGACGAAATGTTCTGCCTCTACAGTAAATATAGGCTGCACATCATACTTCAAAATACCTAAAAATTGTCAAAACGTCGCTAAATAGATACTGAGACAATAAAGTAAAATTGAAGAAATCAAATGGAAACGAGTAGCATGCATCATTCTCAGGCGCTGCTTATACTGTGGCAAATACTGGTACTTCACTTCTCTTCTGCTCAGATGACGACGAGTGTGGAGATAAGACCCACCATTGCAGTTCTAATGGCACATGCAACAACACAGTTGGTTCATATCAATGTACCTGTGCCGCAGGGTACACAGGTGATGGCTTCTCCTGCGCAGGTGAGCCAACTCACCGCTAATGTCGTATATTAAAGCTGGGCTTATTCCTTTGGAAGCTAATGTAAGGGCTAGGCTTCTATTCACCCCAGGCTTCAATTCAAACCGGGTATTTCTATGTTTGTCAACACTAGGCCATGTAAAATATGAGTCGTCGACTGACTAAAATTTAATATACCTTAGAACCTGGTTTCAACTTTCATCAAAAAGTGACGTCAAAGTTACTCTAAGAAAACCCGAAAGCAATCGATCGTGAACCTGCTATCTTTCCTGGAACCCTTGGCACTGCGTTGTGTTTGGGGAATATTCCTTTACGTTCTAGTTTATTGCACCCTTAATAATTATACCTTATAAATATTACTGGTAATCTGCCATGTCATTTACAATATCCAGTATCACCATCTCTGAAGAGCCTTTGAAAAGCGAGACAGCTGTCCGAAGAAAATGTTTAACCCGAGACCCCTTCGTTTTTTGAGATTATTGGTGTAAGCAAGAGTACATACCCCCCTCCCCCAGAGTGTTCAACGCCTGATCCAACTCATCATAGGGTCTTGGTAGAGCGTAATCGAATCTTTGCGTCATAACACCGTACACATCTGAGGGGCACCCGGGGAGTTGCGGGTACTCTCGGATGAAAAACAATGGTGCTCTGCCTCGAGACTGGCCTTGCGCTGGTGTGGAGTATACGCATGACATCAGAAGATCCGATTACGCTCGACCAAGACCCTATGCCGAGCTGCATCAGGCGTTGCACACTCTGGGGGTTATGTACTCTTGGTGTGAGTAATGGCTACCGAGGGTAGCAATGGTCGCCTGTAGAGCGCATGGCGGAGGAGAGTTTTATGTATTTTAATTAGTGGTGAAAGGGGTGATCCGGGTAACCCGGGTAACCATCTGTTTAGCTCCTGATCCGTTAGCAAACGAGTACCCGTTAGTCGTGTAGGATTGTAGGGTACAGTATTAGAAGCTTGCTTGTACAGTTGTACAGTTCAGTCCACAGCTTTGAGTGTGTTTTTCCTCGTTCAATCCTGCTACAAGTACCGTACATATCTCGGTATCCATTGTAGCTACGACAATTTCGACTGTTAGCATGTAGCGCAGTTATTGTGCACACTGTGCTTGTCGCGGTGTAGTGTACTTGTATGACTTCGCATATCCTCCTGGCGTGAAATCCGGAAGGCTACTGTAGCAATTGTTGCCCGAAAATCTCTCTCCGATCAGAATGCCTGCAAAAGACATGTTGCGCTTACGATCACAAGCAAATGCAACGTTTTTGGAAATAGTATGGCGGATAAAGGGTACCCGATGACCCGCCCGTTAAGCCAGATACCCGTTTGTTCCCTTTAATGAGACAGGCGAGTGTGACTGATGCAGTGCTGCCAAACCGTCCGATTTTTCGGACAGTGTCCGATTTTTGAAGGCTCTTCCGAAAACCGGTCCGAAAAAGGAAACGTCCGAAAAGCAGCCAAACATGTCAGGGATCAGTACTTTCCTATTCAGAAGTCCTGTATTTTCTTTTTTCAGCGCAACTGAAGGCACAAATCACTAACACTCGCCTGTCTCATTGTCAGCAGTTCGCAAATTCCATGGATTATTTCACCTTCCATAGGCCTGTACACCATGGTGGCACTGCCACTCTTACATGGATCTGCACATAGGCAAAGCAAGGGTTGAGGGCGGAGGTACATTATAATGTCAACAATTTACATACTAGGTACACACGTAATTTTCAGGACATGAATATAATAATATCCTGTCACAGTTTCAACACTGTCACATGTCATAGTGAACAGACAATGCACCGTGGGCAGACTCCCATTTTTTCGGGTGAGTTCGGAGCGCTAAGTGTGCTACAGATTATACATTCGTGTTCACAAGGACAAGACGAGACCAAAAAAATGCAGACGAGAGAATCTCACCAGTAGTCCACAGCTGAACATCTCCACAACTCAGGTCACCAAGTGGATACGTGGCGTCATCTACATCTTCCAAGGTGGACTCATCACTTTGGCAGGCATCTCTGTCAAGCTCCATCATCCTTTACCCCGTCAAGGCACAAACTTAGATTCACCAAATCAACTGCTGACACTCCGGCGGACGATTCCTTGGGAGCAGGATTATTTTTTTGATTTTTGGGACCAAACAGCGAACGCGTCCCTTTGTGCATGACCTGCGCCGCTTTGACCTCATGGGGATTTTTTCCCTCAGCACTCGTGCCCGAGCTGACTCAATCATCCGACGCGGTTGTGCATCTCGTGTCGCCTCCCGGTATTTTACGACTCCCTGGTTTTCATGTACTCTTGATTGGAGTGAAGGGTATAATTGTTCAAATGGTGGCTCTTACTCGGGAAACGAAGGTACGAAATTCTGCCAATTTTACTCCCGGCATTATCAGCCAAGCCTATCTATGTACTGACAAATGAACACAGAGTTTACTACCAAGGATGAGTAGTAGTACGCATGCACATACGACAACAGGCAAGCGGTTCGACTTCTTTAATGGGCTGCGTCTTTATTGCGCTGCTTCACCATGGTTCTAAATCCAATTCGTCATTGTAGAGTGTTGAAATAATGATATCGAAATCATCTTTTAGCAAAGCAGACTTGGATTTGCAGAGCGGATGTTGCATCTTTATACTCAGGTCAAGAATCCTATGATGTCGAAGGTACACACGTAAATACATGGGGTGAAATATACGCAGACGGAGCAACAGAATACAACATCATGCACTGGATACGGGTCAATACAGTCAAAATGGATGCAAGCAGAATGCACTAGATTGGGCTGAATACATTCCAACAGGATGCACATAGAATACACATTGGCATGGATAAACAGACAAGCTAAGAGAGGTCCATGCAGACACGGACAATTCCACGGGTGCTGCGCAACAGGAAAACACCGCATGTCATCGATGGATTGCAAGTCACTTTGGCAGCAGTTCGACTTGGCACACTTTCACGAAAAACTACTGCCAGTCATGCTTATCTTTGGCTAGTGTAGATTCCAAGATTGAGCTAAAGTCCGCCAAACTACCAGGAACCGGAGGTGTCTGGCCGGAAACGTCCAAAATCGAGTCACGAGAAGCAATCTTCTTCAACGTCATGCGGCTAGGTTTGCGATAGAGTTCTAAATCCAGGTCAGCCTCGGAAACAGCCTTGCCCGGGTGAAAGGAACCTTGATTCTTCTCCTGCTGCCGGGTGCGGTGCCAGAAAGCGAACAGCATGGTGGAGACGAGAATCAAACCAGCCAGTCCTCCTGCCGCGAAGGTGATTTGTCTTTTGAGATCTGAGAGTACAGCACACAAAGACGGTCATAATAAATACACGTCATGGATCAGGGTTAGTGGAGCACCCAGTCGACGTTCTATTGTCTTTTTTGCTTTGTTTTGTTTTCCCCCTCTTTCCGAAGGTACATACATGTGCATGCACATCGGTAAACAATGAATGGTCTCGGGCGCTCCAGCGCAGACCCCCCCCCCCCCCCCCCACAGCATGTGGTTGCGGTTCAAACAAAGTGCTATGGCCGGTTGTTCGGTTTAACTTAGTGAAAGCTCCCAGCTGTACTGATGAGGCCTAGCTGGCCAATACAGCTATCGTATAGGCGCGAATAGAAGCCCCGGGGCTCTATTTTTCCAGAAGACACCCAGAGGGGGGGGGGGGCTGTATTTGAGAGGGGGCTCTATTCGAGAGGGGGCTTTATTTTTTCAATAGAAACATGATTTTCGCGGTCTCAGCGGCTCTCCTTTGATTGCACACATCCGTTTCTGGCGCAGGGTGTTCCCATTTTTGCATGTCTCTATGTTGACCCCAGAGGGCCAGAGCGATCCCGTACCTCCAATATGGATCTAGTGATCCGCAAAGCACACTGTGTTGATCGTGCACACCGTACATGGTTCATGTACTGCACTCCAACGTACGGACTGTGGGCGCTCGATTAGAGCCCCGGGCTTTTATTCGAGACAAGGCTGTATTACTTTGAATGCCTTTGAGGGACAGGCTCTATTCCAGAGGGGGCTTTATTCGAAGGGGGGCTTGTATTTGCGCGCCTACGGTTTCTATCTGAAGCATTGGCAGACAAATCACGGTCCGTGCGAGACTCGACTAGAGACCGATCTTTCCACATCAGTAGGAACGTCACCACCCTTCAAGGATCAGGTCGCAGATGAAGCTCCTAAAGCGAGGTGAAGAGATCAGACACCGATCACCACCAAAATGCCAAAAAAATCCATCACAAAAAAAGGAAGAGGGGAAAGGGGTCAGTGTATCTTACTTGTTTGACCGGTGTTCTGCGCAGTTTCTGAAACACAAGAGAGGCACAGAACAAAGTAGTATTGGTTAGTTGTATGCACATGTATCTAGACCTGTCTTGGGATTCGAGTGAAAGAGAATGGTGTGACACGGCCGTCGACTCCGTTCGCACCGTGTCTGGAAAGTGTTTACGTAGCTTTAATCAAGACTCTTGAGGTTACAAGTCGTATAAAATATTTAACGGGTTCACGTGCCGGGCAGACAGGCAGAGACAGACACACAGGCAGACAGCCAGACAGACAGACAGACAGCCAGACAGACAGGCAGAGACAGACAGCCAGACAGAGAGAGGCAGAGAGAGAGAGAGAGAGAGAGAGAGAGAGAGAGAGAGAGAGAGAGAGAGAGAGAGAGAGAGAGAGAGAGAGAGAGAGAGAGAGAGAGAGAGAGAGAGAGAGAGAGAGAGAGAGAGAGAGAGAGAGAGAGAGAGAGAGAGAGAGAGAGAGAGAGAGAGCGAGAGAGAGCGAGAGATAGACAGAGAGGGAGAGAGAGTAGAAGAAGAAGAAAAGAGAGATATATAGATAGATAGAAAGAGAGAGAGAGAGACAGAGATAGAGGGAGAGAGAGAGAGACAAAGACAGAGAAAGAGAGAGAAAGAGACAGAAAGAGAGACAGACTGACAGACTGACAGAGAGGCAGAGAGAGAGAGAGAGAGAGAGAGAGAGAGAGAGAGAGAGAGAGAGAGAGAGAGAGAGAGAGAGAGAGAGAGAGAGAGAGAGAGAGAGAGAGAGAGAGAGAGAGAGAGAGAGAGAGAGAGAGAGAGAGAGAGAGAGAGAGAGAGAGAGAGAGAGAGAGAGAGAGAGAGAGAGAGAGAGAGAGCGAGAGATAGACAGAGAGGGAGAGAGAGAAGAAGAAGAAAGGAGAGATAGATAGATAGAAAGAGAGAGAGAGACAGAGATAGAGGGAGAGAGAGACAAAGACAGAGACATAGAGAGGGAGAGAGAGAGAGACAGACAGAGAGAGAGACAGAGAGAGAGAGACAGAGAGAGAGACAGAGATAGAGAGACAGAGAGAGAGACAGAGAGAGAGACAGAGCGAGAGACAGATAGATAGAGAGAGAGAGAGAGAGAGAGAGATAGAGAGAGAGAGAGATAGAGAGAGGGAGAGAAAGAGAAAGAGAGATAGAGAGAGATACAGAGAGAGAGAGAGAGAGAGAGAGAGAGAGAGAGAGAGAGAGAGAGAGAGAGAGAGAGCTATTCATGCCCAGCACCTTGCCTACCGTGTGTTGAATTGAAATGCGCTTGAATACCATGCCGCGTGGTTGTGCTTTTGGGAATAGGTGTGCTAGCAGCGTCTACGGAGCCGTTGTGTCTTGGAGGGCCGCCAACACTGTTCCTCCCTCCTTCACCGTCCTTCCCAGCAAAGGGGGTTGGATGCACCTTATCACCAGGTGTAGGTTTTTTTATGTTGTCTTCGACTACATCGTCTGCAAGCACACACATAAAACATGCCAGACGTCAAAAACCGCTGCTTAATGCAATAGTCAAGACAACAACACAAGCAACTGCACTAACACATAAGCGAACACATACGCCGTCTAAGGGATCTGCTAGCCATAACCAACGAGGAATGCAAAATAACTTGCGGTCAAGTCGGTCAATTTAAGCTTCAGCAATTATGATTATTATTATTTAAACAAACGACGCGGAGGCAGTAATTTAATAACAACAATCAATAAGACAAGGTGAATCGACATTTGCGTATACAGGTCTGCTCTCGATATAACAACTCTCACTTGTACATAAACCTCGCTAGTAAGTAAAAAAATCAAATCCCGCGCCGAAGCAGCATCACTCCCATACAAATTTTGTTCCACACAACATAATCCTACATAACATAAACCTCGACATAACATATGCTGCGGCGCGGTCCCCGACGTGCGCACTCTCGATTGCTGGGGGCGCTGGCGGCGATAGTCAGCGAGGATGCAGACTCAATGTCATCAGGGAGTGAGTCGTCATCAGATTCAGACGAAGAGTGAAGCTGGGCTGCTTTGAAACGAGCTGTGTGACATCTGTAAATAAATATCTTTCATATGCTGCCTTGTTTTCCACTTTGCAAAGCGTGTTCGTAGCCATAGAATGATTTGGGCTGAAACGTAAAAACGCAACGAAGTTTTGCTTAACGGAGGAAAGACATACATCTTGATCTTGATCTCGATCCTGCTGCCAAGTCTGGCTACGCAGTCCCCGAAGGGACAGGTCAAATGGTACTAGTCACGCTGCCGCATCGGTGGCGTGTCCGGCCGCTAGTCGAGCGGAAGGACCGGAGACAGGCGGAGCACTCCAGGGGTGGTGCCGCTGCAGTTTGGATGTCAGTCAGTTTGCACTTGTGTCGAGTCCTTCCACTGATGGACGTGAAGGTTTGCTGGCATACAAAGCACGTCAAACCTGGCCCGTCTCGAAATGCTGGCGGTTTCCGTTGTTGTTGCTGCCGTCGAGGCTGACTGAGGGAATGAGCTGGATCATTGCTGCACCGATGGTTCGCCAAGCCCCCACGGGATAGGAGCCAGCGGCCGCACGCATTACACTGAACAGACCCAGACTGCTTTCTCACCGGCTTTGCTCGCTCCACTGTGCACTTGTGACACGCCATGTAGTGGGGCTGAGAGAAACTCCGGCCGCAGGTGTCACACAGCACCGGCTTGATCGTACATAACGTATTTCCCCGATTATAAGTCGCACTCGATTATAAGTCGCACCCACATTTTCAGGTTTGAGCAATATTGTTGCGATATATTGACTTCAGTAGTAAGTCATGCTCGATTGTAAGTCGCACCCCCTTTTTCACCCTGGATTTTAGTGTAAAAAGGTGCGACTTATAATCGGGGAAATACGGTACATACATACATACATACATACTCAATCTGCGGACAGCATGCTGTTTCGTTCTTTGTGAACTCATCAGCGCAGCACATACATACATACATACATACATACATACATACATACATACATACATACATACATACATACATACATACATACATACACACATTACCACATGCACTCACCGCACTTGATTCCGTTCCAGTAGTGACCTCTCGAGCAATTACAGTTGTAAGAGCCTTCCGTGTTGATGCACTGGCCATTTCCACAGTACCAGATGTCACCATCACACTCATCAACATCTACACAAGAGCCTTTTTGGTCTTCAAAACCGAGCGTGCAGGTACAGTTGAACCCGTCACCGGGCAGTGGGACATCAATGCACTCGTAGTGCGGTTCGTTGCAGGTATTCGAAACACAGCTATCAAGATCATCGGCACAATTATGTCCAGTTCGACCTGTGAAGTTGGATATTAAAAGGAAATTTGCAACAATCGCAGAAAAGAAAAGTTATAGAATACATGCAGATGACGAAAGCAAACAAAAAATGGCAAAGATGACATCATGTACCTTTTCACAAACATAATCAGATACCGAGCCAGAGGCAGCGTGTGAGGTTATTGGACTTTGTGAGTGTGTGTGTGTGTGTGTGTGTGTGTGTGTGTGTGTGTGTGTGTGTGTGTTGGTTCCTTTGAGTCTCTCTCCCCTTTCCCGGGGAGACCCTCGTGACCAGTTTTGGCAGTGAGCAACAAGTACAAGTACATGTGTGTGTGTTTGCGTTTTTGTGCGTGCATGCGCGCGTGTGTGTGTGTGTGTGTGTGTGTGTGTGTGTGTGTGTGTGTGGTCGTGTGTGTGTATTTGTGTGTGTGTGTGTGTGCGCGCGCATGTGCGCGTGCATGTGCATTTGCGTGCATGCAGTCCACGCGGTTCTATTGGAGAGCATCGTGCACGAAAGATGACAGAAGCACTCGCATTTTAAGCCGCAGCAGGACACGATCGAGAAGAGTATTGCCACAGTGGCCGTAGCACAACTCACCCGTGTCGCAAGAATCACAGCCAAGCTGGGTGAAAGTGAGCATCAGATCATCAGCTGCGGGTGGCTGCTCACATACTCCATAACACCCACAAAAGGTGACGGGAATGGTCTTGCTAGCCTTGGCACCGGTGTCATCAATTGCCGACACGCTGAGATAAAGATCATGGGATTGAGCAAAATACCTCTCTTCTGGTAGCCAGGTCAACTCCATGCTATCCGATGACACGTTCTTTGCAGAAAAGGAAAACAAAGGAGTGCTGGCTTCGAATGTTATTTCGGTTATAGTCCTGGCTCCTGCAGCTCTAGCCGTCACGATGATCGAGCTCGATCTGTTGAATGTGGCGTGCAGAACTGATGTGCTTGCGGATATGATTGGTGGGAGTGTTGGGAGATTAGCTAGCCAGCGGAGCACAAGCAAACACATGCATGCACACACACATACACACACACACACACACACACACACACACACACACACACACACACACACACACACACATATACACACACACACACACCATTTGCAGGAGGTGATGATAGCGATGCTACAACAGAAGCCATAGCAGCTTGTGCTAGGATGGCACCATGCAACATCTCGCAAGACTGAAGAATTGACCGCCACTATTCAGCCTGGTCTACACCACACAGCTGCAGTACATGTATGAGCTGGCTTTTTCTGGCCGGTGAATCCCTAGTGTTTGGTCTTATTTTCACACACACACACACGCTCACGCGCACGCACACACGTACACATGCGCACACACACACACACACACACACACACACAGACACACATACACATACACACACACACACACACACACACACACACACACACACACACATACGCACATGCACATGCGCACGCGCCCACGCACGCAAACACACACATACGCACACATACGCGCACACACACACACACACACACACACACACACACACACACACACATACACACACGCACACACACACACATACACAAACATACACACATGCACATAATATTAGTACGCACACGAACATGCAAACAGATGCACACACACGAACATAGAGAGAGAGAAAGAGAGAGAGAGAGAGAGAGAGAGAGAGAGAGTCTCTCACAAACACACACGCACACACACACACACACACACACACACACACACACACACACATATATATATATATATATGAGCCAGGGACTATAGAAACCGCCCTACGACGTTTGATATCAAAATCAAGTTATGACGTTTCAAAGTCACGCGACTCAAAGTTACGCGAAGCGCAGAACTCGTCACTTTTGTTTTGCGAGCTTCTCCGTCTCTCGTCTTGTTAGGTGGTCGGGGAAGGATTCCGAGCTCGAGCGATTGTCGAGTAACTCATGAGGCTCCACTTACTGTGATTGATTATGGCTACAACATCTAGTAGACGACGCAGCTCGATTCTGTGTGGAGTCGACTAGTCCCTGATGCGAAGGCGCTTGAATCGGACGAAGAGAATTTTTACGGATTCAGCGCTGGCACCCGCGAGTCGTCCGCGAGCGATTCCGACACCGATGCTGACAGCGACGGCGATGATATGCCACCTAAGAAGAAGACGTATGGAGTCACAGCAAGCTCGAGTGCTGCTAGTGTTGTGTCGAAAACGCCAAGCCCCGACAGCTCGGAAATTTCAAACGCGGAGAGTGACACCGACTACTCGGAATCGGATGACGAACCAGATACCCCCGCACCTGAGCCACCGACGACGGAGCAGGTGAAGCGTGGTCTCCTCGGACATACGCGATGGGATTGAGAGAGGCTGTGGATGCAAGTCGAAGAATCATTGGAAAGTCATCCCAGAGCAGCAGCTCGAGGACTACATATTTGAAGTCTCTAAACTGCGAGAATCGAAAAAACGCTTCAACAGTTCAAGCAGTTTGTTCTGGGCGCACTGACTGGAAGCATGCGAAAGTCGATGACTGGCGGTGGTGATCGACCTTTCTATTTCCGCTATCATGTACGTGGTTACGAGTTGTGCAAAGACGTGTTCATGGCAGTTCATGCTGTTGGAAGTCATGAAATGAAGCGCCTTCAAAAAAGGCAAACAAAGGAGTCGTTCAACTGGCACAACATGGCTTGACTGGGAGACCACCAGAGCACTTGGCCATTTCAGCAGACATAGAGCAGGATGTAGTGCAGTTTATTTAGTCATAATTATGCTAACATGTACGGTCTACCTCAACCTGCAGCGGAGCGAGGTCGTGCTGAGGACCCTCCAGTATACTTACCAGCATCCGAGCACAAGAAGTCTGCATACATCTACACCAAGACCGTCACACAGTATTCGCCTGTTCATTACAGGTCATTTTGCCACATTTGGAGGAGACAGGCAGCACACATCAAAGTGATGAAGCCAAGGACAGACGTATGCGCACTGTGTGACAATCTGTGGTACAAAATTCGTGTCGCCCGTACAGAGGAAGAGACGAAATGTAGTGTCCAGGCCCTGTGTTCGCACACATCGCTAGCACAAGAGGAGCGGCAGTACTACCGAGATTTAGTGGACGGCGCGCAGGCGTCACTGGATGAAGCTGAGGGCATAGTTCACTATACATTTGAACTGCCTAACTACTACGTAGTAGCAAGAATGAAGATATACAAAGAACATTACATACTGTGTACATAAATTTGCTCTATATTGCTCAATTGATATGCCATTATTAAATAGGTGGTTATGCACATTTTACCATCGCAGATCAACTTGAAATTTTGTTTGAGCACATTACCATACCATACCAACATTTTGAGAGAAAAAAAAATTTCGCCAAAAAGTGCCATAGGGTGGTTTCTGTAGTCCCTGGCTCATATATAAAGGGAATGCTATCAGCTCACTAAGGTATACTTACAGAATATCTCGGCTGCATTTCGCTGGACACGAGCTATATCACGAGAGCGATATGCTAACTCATAGTCTTGGGTAAGAATAAAGTCGGCGATGCATGTTTCTTCGCCCTCGCATTTGGAAATTGTTTCGTCTGATGTATTCACACTTCTATTTACACTTCCTGTTGTTGGCGGGTTGGTCGGGTTAAATTTTTCATAACTGCTGTCGGGAGAGTCGGTGTATGAGAAAGGACTTCTCGCCTTGTCCACTTGGTCTGTGGAATCGGAAAACACAGATCAGACCAATCCGAAACAATGATGCAAAGGGTCAAGCGCATGGATAGATGAACACACACATGCACACACACTCACATGCGTACACACGCAACCCAATCACATCTACACACACACACACATGCACACACTCACATGCACACACTCACATGCACACACTCACATGCACACACTCACATGCACACACATGCTCACATGCACACACATGCTCACATGCACACACATGCTCACATGCTCACATGCTCACATGCTCACATGCTCACTTGTACTTGTACTTGCTCACTGCCAAAACTGGTCACGTGGGTCTCCCCGGGAGAGGGGAGAGAGACTCAAAAGGAATCAAAAGGAATCTTGGAAAGATGACTCAATTGGCCATTGAACCACCCAACGGCCGACACCCCCTGAAATCCCCAAACTAGGGTGGACTTGAAATGATCCCACTTATGGGCTCACCACACCTCAGTAAGTGGGTGAGGACAAGGTGCAGAAAAAGGATTGACGGCATCAGGGTATCCGTTCCGGGATCCAACTGCAGGTACCCCTGCCCCCAGTGAAGGTAATACTTGGTACTAGTGTGGGTGGCTAAATCAGAGTGGATCTGATATAAGCTTCACTAGCACCATTGATTACACAAGAGTTAATCTAGCCAGAAGCAGTCCATGGTTAACAGGTATGTATACTTCAAATAGAAAGTATATGAACCCTGAAACCAACAAAGGTGGTAGGTACAACAATACACCTTCAAGCAGCCGAGCCCGTTGGCAACAGGCCCAACACTATCTGGCATAAGTGTACCCACCAACCGAACTAGCTGGCACATGCACACACACACGCACGCACGCACGCACGCACGCACACACACGCACGCACACACACACACACACACACACACACACACACACACACACACACACACACACACACACACACACACACACTGTGCTTTGCGGCTGCTGTCGAAAGTTACAGAATTCTGAACACTTGCTCTCAGGACAGCTAGCCGTTCGGACAGCTAAGGTCTTATCAGTGGTGTTCCGAGTCAAACGCTGAAACAATCGCAATGAGCCTCCAACACGCCCCCCCCCCCACAAAATAATAACACTTACATTTTTTCGCCTCCTCTCGGAGTGCAGTACTGTTTTCCAAGATCAGCTCGTTGTCACGATCAATATTCAGTAGACCAGTGACTTGGGCATTCCGTGGGACTGCGAAACCAGAAAGATCAAGGGACAAAGAACTGGTCAACATATATATACACTTTAGTTCTAGATCTGTTTATTCGGACACGGGGTTCATAGCCAGCAATGATGTAGGTCAGTGATTATCTACAAGCTAGAAAAGAGCACTATCTCTTAATTTGCTGGATACTATTGGAGTTTGGTCCTATTTTTCCACTCAACACGGGTATGGCACGAGAATAGCAAAAAGTATGTGACCAATTCTTCCTTGCTAGATCTCAGTTGAACAGTTGGCTTAGCTCTATCGAGCAGTGCTCAAGCTGACTTTCATGCTGTGGACTGTCTCAGTACTCCTTGTCAGTTTTGTGCTAGATTGTGCACGTCTGACTTGAAGACGAAGAACTGTTTATTTTGACAACATGTTACTCAGTTGATTCAATGTCTAATTACTCTTTGTATTTCTGAACTGTACAACTGCTTCGCAGTTCTTTCCGTTTCAGTAATAATTACGCTTCATTGATGTTCTCCTCGTTGAAGAAGTTTATTTGCGGCAATAATCAGGACAGGAATAGTCAGCAAGCTTTCATCACATTGCGGTCTTAAACTCGCGCGCTGTGAGCGCACGTTGAAATGTACTTACTGTGCAGCGATAGGGCCAATACTGGGTGACGCTGCACATCGACCTTGACAGAGAAACTTCCAAGGTGAACAACTCCCGGTGAGGACGAGTACGGTGAATTAGACTCAAGGCGGCCGATTTCATTCGAGTACACCTCTTCAGTGTGTTTGGACGTGCCTTGTGCTGAATGGTCAGTACGGACAAAACACCACACAATAGACAGGCGCTGGCAATGTGGCAGATGTTTAATAAAAAAAAAGGAACACTGCTCTGCAGCTCGGAGACAGTTATTGCCAGCCTGCCTTTGAGACAGGACTACAGACATCCAGTCTGGACGAGAATTCGGCGGACCAAAAAGGTGCCTACTGTAAAGGCCATTATTCTAACTCTGGCGCATGTATAACGATTTCCCAACATTGACTGGTTTACGTGTACCAAAGGTAACGATTCTCACTTATTCCCAACGCTCAATAGGACAGTGTATGTATCGATTTCTGTATAACGATTTCTATTTTAACGACAGAGTACTCCTCGTTAACTCGTTAGAGTTAGCACTTCGTTATAATTGTATAGCTTTTACAGTACTCACCTTTTGGTCCGCTGGATTTTCGCTTGTAATGTGCTCTGTACGCCATGTTTTGATCACTGCGCTGTCCAGTGACAGTAAGGATTTTTTTCATTATTTATATTGCTCGCCCAACTGATATCATGCTGTGTTTGCTTCCAAAGCACAATTCCCTACACCAAGAGGTTTGTCCTTATACCCAACCCTATTGCACATAAGTGATTCACCACGACTATGTCGATAGTAATAATATTGTTAAAACAGTCAACTTCGCGTGCAACGACACTCGGCGGGGCTTCAGAAAAATGTCCATATTCGCGAAGCGTCGTTTCGCGAAGTATCGTTTCGCTGAAGGCTGTGACGATTGTCATGAGTCTCATGCTGTCGGTGCGGTTTTCCTGCACCTACGCAGGGTTTCGGTTGTTGTGAGTCATGGTTGTACCATTGACTGGTTTATCTGCGTGCGTTTGTATCTTTAGCTATGAGAGATGCAAGACTTGTCTGCAGGTTTCATTTATCTGAAACCAGCTACCTTTCATTCATATTGACACATTTGCAGTTTTTGTGTACTGAGTAGCTGTGCTGGGTAGTTTACGGTCCAGTGTTTTCCTCACTTGCTGACGTACACATATTTTGGTTTCGCTCGTTTTATATGTAAATAATTATTGTTGTAGTTCTGCGCAGCCAAGCGAGGCTAGCTCATTCAGTTCTTGGCTCCTTCGTGTCTCTCTCATGTTAGTATGAGTTAGATTTCTCAGTTATTGTCAGTATGAATCGAATAAAAATAAAAGGAGTTCAACTGCAGATTTATCGTGAACAGTGGAAGTCTCCATATATGTATTAGAGTTTTTTTGTTTGAATATATAGTTGGTCCGCGTCAGCAATATTGTCGCTTATCTTTCGACAATTTGAACTTAGACTTTGGACATGAACGCATGCACCTGAAGTGATAAAACTTGCTACTATGGACAGTAAGGTATAGAATGACAACTTGCTGCGAGGAATTTATTGTCCAAGGAAGGGTTCCCACTTTTTTCGGTCCTCCTCGTAGCTGCTCTCGGCGCTGGCAACAAATATTTTTGCTCGGGATCGACTCTCTTGCTTTTTCAAGCTCATCTCTCTTCCTCTCCGCTACCTGGCTATTTTCTAAAGAGAAGTCGATCGTGACGGTCACCTTCTCTATAGGACTTCGCCTGGGCAGCACGACAGCCTGTGTGGTTCAAACCAGACGCCGTTCTTTGCAAGATTTTATTTTGAACGACGACGACGCGTACAGTACATGTACTTGCAAATCTCTACGACGCGCTGGATACTCCGAGCGAGGAGCTGGAGGTAAGGGAGCTGCGATCTCAGCTTGATGAGCGATCCCTGAGGTGAGCGATCTCGGCCGTTCAGCAAAATGGAGCTGATTCCGAGTAGCCGATTACTTTCTTGTGGCTTGCGCTGCTCTTGCCTGCACAGCGTAACAAGATAATCTATTTTGATGCGGCGCTGTATCAATCAGAATCACCCACCTGTCGCTCTCGAAATCCACTCGAACTCTAGCCAGACCTTTCAGGTACTAGCAAACTAACTTGCTATCCAAAATTGGGATGAAATGGGCTCCCAAGTAAGCATTGGCGACATATAAACAAAGCTGAAAGATAAGCGACAATATCACTGACGCGGACCAAGTAGTTAGATGGGACTTTGCTCTGGGCATGCAAACTCTGTGGTTATTGCTGAATTTGCGTTATATCTGCAGTCGTTATTGGCGAAGTTGACGGTTGCAAGTTTACGGAACCCAGTGCGAGAATATCGTACGGGCAACACAACATGAAAGGAGGATGTCAGTTGCCTTTCCATGGTTGCACCGGACCAGCTAGCCCCTACGCGTGATCTAAAAACATACTTTCTCAGTGCTGATCACTGCTCATTTGGATATGGTCAATGCCCGTGGTGAACAAGGAAACTTAATTAAGATGACCAACCAAGAAATGGAGCAGGCATCATTTGTTGACACCACCTGCAGTCTATTATGTCCCATGCCTAGAAGCAAGGCAAGAAATCACCCCCAAGAGTTCATGTGTAACTCCAGCTATTGGGTCTGCGATGGCAGAACTTAACATTACAGTCAAACCTCTTTAGGACGAACACCAAGGGACCCATGGTATTTGTTCGCAATAACGGGAGTTCTTCTTATCCGTATTTTATACCCAATGAATACACAGTGATTTATCCAACAGAGCTATGAACACTAGTTCTTCTAAAGCGAAAGTTTGTCTTATCAGTCGGTTCTTCTTAACGAGCTTTCACTGTATGTGACGGGCTCGCATACAGTAGTTGCACCCTCTTCAAGACAGATACCGGCTTGTATGTAGCCCTGCCTTGGGCTCAACTCTCTTGTGGTCACTTTGCACTGTTTGGCAGAGTAGCCTATTGAGCTATGTGATGTGACCGCTTGCACTCACAGGCAGTGCCCAAGGAAATTCGACCCCACACATCGACACACACAGACACACATAGACACAAACAGACACACACACACAGACACACACAGACACACACAGACACACACAGACACACACAGACTCACACAGACACACACAGATACACATCGACACATACACACACACAGATACACACAGACACACATACACACAGAGACACACATAGACACACATGTACACACATATACACACATATACATACATAAACACACAGACACACATAGACACACATAGACACACACGCAGACACACAGATACACACAGACACACATACACACACATACACACATATACACATACCGTATCATCTCTAATATAACCACGGTCCTTTATTTTTTCAATGTACCTCCGCACCGTGCTATTATTGGAGACGTTCCTTTATTGGAGACTGTTCCATTATTATTTCAACCTCATTTCAGAGGCTTGTTGCCATGCCAAATTCATGTCAGACACACACATTTCAGGGTTTTTTCGCCGGTCCAGATAATGAATTTACACAGTGTGCTTATAATGGAGACTGAGCACTCTATTTTTTGAATGCCGCTCCAAGGTGTTCTATTATTGGAGATGTGCTATTATTGGAGACTGTGCTTATATTAGAGATAATACGGTATACACACAGACGAACATAAACACTCAAACACACCTCAGACCTCAGACATGCCCATCGCGGAAGCGATGATAGCGAACAGCTATGTTAGACATAGCAGCTTGTGCTGGGATTACACCATTCAACAGCTTGCAAGGCTGATGAATTGACCGCCACTATTTTTAGCCTGGTATTCACCACACAGCTGTTTGAAGTGACTTTTCATTTTTTCATTTTTTTACACACACACCACACCACATACTCCGGCATACACTGGCTGTTGGTAACCACCCAGGAGAATGAAAGAAAAGTCAAGAAGAGTCCGAGAAAGAGAAGACAGATGTGCACCCACACCCACACCCACACCCACACCCACACCCACACACCCACACACACACACACACACACACACACACACACACACACACACACACACACACACACACACACACACACACACACACAACACACACACACACACACACACACACACACACACACACACACACACACACACTCAAGCACGCACACACACACGGATGCATATACTTACTAATTCGGATTGCGACACGTGTAATCGATGTAAAATTGGCAGCATTTGATAACGGATGCACTTCCATCCGTGCGGTAACTTCCAGGCTATGATTAACTCCGCTTACGGCGGCAAGAACAAACTCCCCCACAACATGGAAATCGAAACTCTTTCCTCTGAAGCTTACAAGATGAGGATCTCCGAAAGCGACACCTGGGCAAGAGAAATATGGAAGGGAAGCTGATTGTCAACATTACATCTTTATTCATTGAAAGAATTTTCAAGGAAATCTTTCGAAGTAAACCCTTTAAAATTGTGTGAGGAAAAGTTTTTAATGTGCTGCCAAGTAGACATTACCTATTCCTACGCTGACAAATGGTGTACGTATAAATTCGCGTATCTAAATTTGGTAATCCTCTTCCTGACTGGTTCCACGCTACACGGATTGCATCGGTCCTGCATAGTACATAGGTACTGCATTGTCCGAAGTATACGCAGCACTTCAAGCACCGGTCTACATTTACCCAAAAAGGATCTGAATTGCGATGGTCAAATTTACGGTGGTCAGACAGGGACGTGTCTGTATTTCGTGACAACCACATCCTGGTGTTGCTTCTACTCTTTGTTGTTCCAAGTACCAGTTTAGATTCTTATCAACCACCACACCACACCGCTGCGCTCTCCGGCCGACCTCAACAAGTTGCCACAGCACACCTTCAGCAAAACGACACTTCAGTTGGTACTCTGTTCCTTCAGACACAGCTGTTTCGATCATCAGGATCTCGTCTGTGAATGCTGATAATGTAGAATGGCTAACAGATAGTGAACTTCACCCTTTTGTAGCAAAGAAGGGAAACAGAATGGCGCATCTTAGGCGCAAAACGGGGGAAACATAATGGCGCATCTTAGGCGCAAAGATCTCTTATTATCTCACTTCCTGATTACCCCCTTCTTTACCAGTACCCTTTTCGCTTGCTTCTACTCAGACTTCTTAACCCTTAGAGGACGAAGGACGAAAATATCCGTTTTTTTTTAGGTATAGCTAGATTCCTAAAGACGAGTATATCCATTTTTGAGAAAATGGCGATATCGATATATTTGTAGGTGCTTGATGTCGCTCATATGTTGCTCAGACGACTACGATCTGATTCTTCATCAAGGTGAGGCATGTCGCAGTCGATCCGCATCGGTCCCGTGGAGAACCGGCCACATTTGAGTATACACTCAAACGCCTCTTATCCGGACGCCTCAGATACGGGCACGTCTCTCTACCGGGCACCTTTAGCTTGAGTTCCTATGGCAAAAATGCTTCGAATTTGGGGGTTTTGAACTTTTTCTGTATTCGGAAGTGCTTATTTTTCACTGCCAACCTATGTAATCCACACATTTTTATCAATGGGTTCCTTTTGTATCCTGAACATGTGCAATACGTTCCAAATAAACTTCTTCAAAAAGTAATATGATACATGGTAGATGAGTTATTCTGAGATACGGGCAAATCTGAGATACGGGCAGTGCCCGGTCCCAAGGTGCCCGGATAAGAGACGTCCGAGTGTACTCAGAGAATGCGACGATCGAGAAATTATTTGGAATTTGAAACTAACTTGCTACTTTGTTGAGAGTGCCGATGGCACGTAACCTGTCAAGTGTCTCCTTGTCTGAGGCCTTCGGCATTATCTTTATGAGCAGCGATAGCGAGGATGAACAGTGTGATCCTTTTTACTTTTCTGAGGATGACAGCTGATGTCAATGTCTCTTTAGAATCAAACTTTAGGACACTATATTATTTGTTGAAAATCCCGATTTTTTGGAGAAAATCGCAACATACACCTATTTTGAATTGACCATTCTGACCACTATAATGGAAATATGATGTAGAAACTTTGGTTTTTGTTGCCTACTGATGTCTATGTCTCTTTAGAACCGGATTTTATGACACTAGATCAATTTTAGAAAATACCGATTTTTCGCCTGAAAATGGTAGGAATCCAGGTGGTTTTTGGTAGTCCTCAAAGGGTTAATTAACCTCTTCACATTAATCATTTTTATCTTAATATTTTCTTCCTTTTAAAAATTGCACCCTGAAAAAAACACAAACACACCCATGTAGATGGAGCAGCAATGCAATACAATGTCCAAAAACTCAAGAAATCATTATCATGGGACAATGTTGGGCACTACTACTACTGCTGCTGCTGCTGCTGCTGCTGCTGCTGCTGCTGCTGCTGCTGCTGCTGCTGCTGCTGCTGCTGCTGCTGCTGCTGCTGCTGCTGCTGCTGCTGCTGCTGCTACTACTACTACTACTACTACTACTACTACTACTACTACTACTACCACTACTACTACTACTTCTTGGTCCGCCCAGTTACAGTTGGCGCTTATCTTCACATTTGTCTCAGGAAGGAAATACATATATTTGAAGCATGCCACGATCCCAAAGCATTATGCACATGATTATTTACATGTCAGTAAGCAACTCAGCCGAAATTTCAAGCAAGTTACACGTCCTCTTCGCCACTATCGTCCCTGGAGGAAGAGCTCAAAAGGTTAGATCCGGACAGCTGCTGCACGATAGCTTGTTCCACTTCTCCTCGTCTCGAATCACGCTCACAGCCAGTGCGTGCCTGTCAACTCGCCGCTCAGAAGCTGAGTGAGACTGCCCACGTGTTCGCTGTAAGTGCTATCCCCGTCCGTTGCAATGATGCGGCTTTGTTTGAGACAAAAAGGCAACGCCATATCAGTGTCCTTTTTCAAATCGTCTCTTGCGCTTGTCGTACTTGCTGATCAGCACTCACGCTAGTGCTTGTACATGCAGCACAGTGATAGCTTCCGCTAGATGTAGCACCTGTGCGTATTGCACCTAAGTCCTAACGCCTTGCACCAGGCTTTTCGGCTAGTTTCCTGAAAGTCCTTTGCACGAGAGTTTCACTCAGGACATGGTGTTTATTTTGATTAGCTCCTTTGCCCGGTCCTCTGTGAGCTTCAGAGTGTGTCCGCCGGATTGGTCTCACTTTCTGGAGATGTCGACATGAGCTGCAATTTCTTTGTCAGCGATTTGCTGGTGATAACTCTTCACTAGGCGCTGTCCTGTGCCAGCACTGAAATACGGTAGTTTCGCATTCATGTGTGAACCTCATTTCATGTACGGTTGCGAATGGCAGGCACAGCACACTTAACACAGATCTTACCCATCAAGAATGGAACACGCTCGTCAGCGGGCTTGGGAGAGTTACGGTTTGAAAAGAAGTGTGACAGAACACCTCCGACATGACAAGCTGAGCGTAACTTAGAGTCAGCATCGGACAGTTGCTGAAAAGGTCGGTAGAAACCGAAATCAATCAGGTTCCCGCCGCGACCGTAGCAGCAGTGCTGGGAGACAATACAGAAAAAATACAATATCGATCAATGAACCGCTACTTTTCCACGCAGGCACGCACACACGCACACATGCAGCACTCGCGTACACACGGATTCTTTGGCGCCTCATATTCCATCACATGTGCAAAATATCTCGGAACCCAACAAAAACGGCCAGATTGATTTCGTTCAAAATTGCCCAGCTCTTTAATCCCATCAGAATAATGTCAGTCCCGAAAAATGGGAGGGATTAAAACACTTTTTCCTAGCATTTTGCACAAAACCCACATCCCAGCATTTTGCCTCTACTATTGTCTTATTCAGACTATTGTGTTGTACAGTCAAAACCTCGTTAGTATGAACACTGATAAGGCGAACTTTCCTTTAGTACGAACTAGGGCCAACCCTATGGTTGGCCAGGCATCTTATCAAGTCAAAAATATTCGTTTACGACGAACTCTGTGCGGCGAACGTTCGTGAAGACGAACTAACTTCAAGCGTGATTTGAACAAGATCAGCGTGTAGTACGAACTTTCGGTCTCCGTGGGTACGCTGGCTGTAGTTTTTCCCGATAGTCGAGGCCTCTTGTGCTGGCAAAACATGCTACAAGACGGATGTAATGCTGTCATGAAGTCCTTACACATTGTACTTACCTGTTGCTGGGTTATGTTATGAAAACAATGTTTTACATTTGCCACAGCATGCACCTTCACATGAATACAATCCATATGTTATGCATATCAAGTTTTTTCTTCAGATCTGGGTACGAAGAACTCCCGAAAAAACAAACAAACTTGTTCGGTCCCTTGAACGAGGTTGGACTGTAGTTTTCTGTTCAGGTACGAATTTTGATAGTGCTCACTTCCGTTAATCGTTTTTCTTTGTAATTTTCCATTCATTTTCTGCTTTAATTCATATTATTTTTGCTTTGTTTTCCTAGCTTACAATTGCCGTGGCTGGCTCAACGCCCTTGTCTCAGGGGATTCTGTCCCTGCACTAGCTATGCTTGTCACATGCTATGAGATTGTGTCTAATAATAATAATAAGGTATATAAGGGGTGATTTCTGCAGTCCAACCAAGTCAAATATGGTGGCTAGGCTTTCTTTTCAGAGTTCTTGGCTTCCCATACTAACAATCTCATTGGGTTTGGAACGCAAATATCGGTACTCCGTGGGGTCCCGAAATTTGCCCGATAGCTTTGCGTCATTTCTTCAAGAGGCGCAGCCAAGCTATGTGGTTCCTATGCTAAACATTAGACATTTGACATTTGACATTTGAATCAATGTGAAGTACCTAGGAGCACGGTTTACTGAATCAAATTTTTGGCTGATGTGTGAGGTGGACCAAAACATCAATTAAAATCAAACGTAATGGCCTGATAGAGTTCATTCCAATGTTGCAGATGTATTTTTAAGATTATAATGGGAACAGTCTGCAAAGTTATAGCCGCCTTCAGCTACCAGAAGCATACTATCTCAACTGCTCTCAATTTGTCGATTTGGGGGTAAATTTACATATTACTGCCATCAAGAAATTGCCAACTGCTTTAGGGATTTCTTTAAAATTGGTAAGTATGTTCTCTTGATTGATGAAAAGGTGCCTGCCAGGTTTCATGTTTCTGTTACCAGCAGAACATACCTTTTGAGTCCATTATAGAAGCTACTCTTGTCACAACCACTACCAAAAAAGAAGAAAACAAGTTTTCACCGGGGAGGCTCGAACCCACGAGGGGCAAAAGGCCATAATATTTCTACTCCAAACTTGCTACGCTCACATTCTCAGCTTGAAAATAATGAAGAAAGACAATGGTACTGAGACTAGTCTTCAATTTAGGTACGAGCCACCTTAAACTACACCAATTTCTTCGACTTTCCTTTTCTTCTTCTCCGAGAAGCTAGAGAATACAAGAACGCACCATAACACACACTCTCTCTCTCTCTCTCTCTCTCTCTCTCTCCTATCTCTTAACTTACCGAAGATATCTTAGTATCTGAATCAAGATGTATTCCACCGACAATGGCACATTCTAATCCTACTCCGATGTTTCTTGTTAGTTCAATAATCCTGGCGGATGCCTGTTCCTTGGTGTCTGGGCAGCGAGTCATGAGATGGTATGCTTGCGGCTTCGCTGATGCATTAGTCACCGAGTCCAGACAGTGTTTTCTTGCGCGCAGCTTTTTGCTGCAGCCGTTAGTCAGGTTATACACCCCCGCGATCGGATTAACCTGGCGAGTTCCAGAGGTTGGCAGGACTTTGCCGGCTGCCATGACTGGATAAGGAATGCCTTTCCAGCTGATTCCGTTCTTAGGATATTGAAGTACTGCAAACGACTGGCAGTCGTCACTGATGATCGCAGCCTGGAATGTGTTGCGCTGCGAGGAACAAAACATGGCAGATCAGAGATTGATCTTAGAGGACAATAGAATCTGATTTGGACCCTTTCGGTGCAGATGACGTGATGCGACGTCATGGAAAGTATTCTGTTCGGGGACCACGTGCCACAACTGGAGGTTTGCAAGCCCATCGGCACCCCACTCACACATGCTCAACCACAGCCAAACTCATATTCCTCTTTTCATGCTACAATATCAGCTTGATGCAGCCCTCCTGGGAGGAGTGCCTTGCAATGCTGCCCAAGAGGTGAATCTCCTGTATCACTATGCATGAAATTGTATTGACATCATCACCGACACTGAGCCATCGCCTACCTTGTTATGTTGATTATTCTCGGGAATCTCTAACCAGGTTGTGAGGATGGCTTCGCGTGGCCGAAATTCGTCGTCTCCCCTGTACTTCTCTTTCACCGCATTTTTGATGGCGGCAAACGTGGCGCTGTCCACCGACTCACTGACACGATGTGTCGTCACCTTACCAAGAGAGCAGGAAAGATTCTTGGAGCGCGTTGCCCAGAATGGTGCAATAATGGCCTCCTGCTCGGTCACGAACGAGTTGTCATTGACGCCTCCAGTAAAGCCATTCAGGGACATGTACCCATCAAGTGACACCTGGTAAGCAAACAAATGGCAAAGGTATTTAAAAAAAGTCAATAACATAGTTGGGGACCATCCGTAAATATAGATATTTATTTAGAAACGAAAACTAGTCGTTTTTAGGGGAGGATGTTGAGCGCCTGTTCGTTTCTCGAAAAATGTCGATGTAAATGTTTGCATGCGTGAGCATGTCCAGAAAAAAAAACACCAACAATATCAATACTAAGTAGCATTTATATGTGTTCATTTCTCAGGTAGGGGGGGGGGGGTTGAAGAGAAACGACTAGTTTTCGTTTCTAAATAAATATCGGCATTTACGGAAGGCACCTTAATTAAGAAGGTAGCAAGGAGACCACAAACTATAAAGCAAAGCTGTGTAAATATTTAACCATGCCGTCATGTGCACACAAAACAAAGCAGCGTAGAAAGTTAGAGTCCAGAACGTTTCCTTGCGACCTTCTTCAGCGGAACAACATCACTAATCAGTAAAATGAAATAGCATGGGAATGTTGTTTTACCATCAGGTGGTCACAAGAGAACGTTCTGGAAGGTATTATCCACAACTGTAAGAAGATAATCATGCAGTCAGAAAGGGCGATAACGGGGCACAACAACTGACTAGCTTCAGACATCGTTCCCATGTGTTCTTTTCTATTTTAATTTCATTATTGGCTCAGTGTCCGAGTAGCATATATGCACGCACGCGCGCGCGCACAAACACACACACACACACACACACACACACACACACACACACACACACACACACACACACTCACACACGCACATGCAAATACACAAACACATAGCAAAAATAGCGGACAAGATCTGAATGAGACAGGTCAAGACTAGCGCCAGATAATCAATACACACAACCTGCAAAGCCATGTAAATCTACCACCAATGCACAACTGGTCTACACTACACGGAGTACATCGGGATAAAACGGCCAAGACAGTTACCTATGCACACCCTACACTTGCTGGGTAACCAGTGTAGACAGCACGTTGCTTTGATAGAAGCAGACACTAGATGCATTGATTCCTTTTAAGTGAAATTGGAGTTAATTTACCAACCAACCTCGCCTACTGAGTACTGGGAACACAGAGCCAACAGACAACAACCTCAGCCATAAAAGCCATTATAGTAATGACACACTGGATTGTGGAGCCGAAACTAGTCCAACTTCCAAATGCTTTGGCAAGAATGTAGCCTTCCAACAACACACACACACACACACACACACACACACATATGTGCCCACGTACACACACACACACACACACACACACACACACACACACACACACACACACACGAAGTAACAAACAAACATAGCAAGATGCGGAGGACAACGCGCGGAAAACAGGAGTCTGGACTTTCTCTCGTCCGATGAGTACTTAAGGCTTCATATTGATTTTGATGGCGAGACATTCCATCAATGCATGAATATTTGTGGGGATAGCGCTGACAATTCTCGCCGATAAAACCCGGTTTAATACCCAAAATGGTGGATCGGTACTTGTCATGCTTTAGACAGGCATGTGCAGACCAAACGGGATGCTCTTACCGACACATTGTGATGGTGTGTGAACTGCGAGCCGAAGACAAAGGGATGAGCCAGATCCAGCACGTCGCCTTCCACCAAGGAGTCCCTGCTTGCCGTGAAGAGCTCTTCGCTCAGCTCTGGACGGGTGAAAAGACAAAAACCAGAGGCAAGATCGCATGACAACGACCGCGCAGATTCACTCGTTTCCATGTGATTTCTTCTATTTTATATATAGTCACTAGGTCAGCATCCGATTTAAATTCGGACAACAAATGTTCGCCGCAAACATATTTTCGGCTGTTTTTGGGCCTGGTCATGTTTGGCCGAAAATTTGTTGCGGCCATAAATTTGTTCTGCAAGGTTCAGTGTGACAGTGTGTGCAGGCAGCAGCAGTACAGGGCGAAAATTCGATGCGGCCGAAATGTGATTTAGCCCTGGGAGGCTGGAATTCGTGTGGGCCGAACATTTGCAGACTTACAGTGCAAGAGCATTGAATACCCTGATGCAAGCAAGCTATTCACACACGACTACTTAAAAGCACTCTGAAATGGAACGATCACACCGCAATGAAGCAAACAAATCTGTTTCCGCCGCCGCCCGGAGTTTTGCACACTCAGCAGACATCAAGAGTGGCCTGAAACACGAGTGCTGACAAACGACTATTGAAATACCATGACACATCAGGGATGAATTTATCCGGTATCGCATCGCAGTTTGCTATGCAAAGTCGATCGATCTACTGCTACTCGAAAATCACCGCGACTAGCAGAACACTGCGATACATACAGGCTATCCATGCCTAGCTTGCGCCGTCAACTAACAAAAACTGCTATACAAAAAAAATACAGTAAAGTCATCCCTGCACATGACTGTCAAGTATACCGTGAGTGAGCAAGAGCAGAGTTTCCCAGTCCGGCGTCCTGTGGCAGACGGCTCCCCTCCCCGACAGGCGCAGTCTCTTGCTCAGTTCGTAGACGCGGCTTAAAAACTTCATGTAGGGTTCCCAATAAAATGGCAGTAGCCTGTTGGGACACCTCTAGTAAAAAAATTAAATATACCTACTACTATATGACTATCTGCCGAACCAAGAGTCCATAACCACAAGAGTGTGTATCTCTGTACATGGGGATCAGCCGGAGTTCCGACATTACGTCAAGAAATGACGTACACGTTCGTTGCGCTTGTACCACTCCCTGGTTCCAAGTACCGTGGAGTGCGGAGTTTTGTCCTCTGCGCCTCAGCGGCATGACGTAATGTTGGAATTCCGCCGCGCAGTTTCTTTATCTTTTTCTCTTATATCTACTTTTCCACAATATCCTTTAACATTTTTATTCACAGTGGGTCCAATGTTATTAGGCATTTTGCCTGTTTTGATTTCTACTATAAATAAAGTATACAACAAGAACAGTGGGCCTGCAGCAGCCAGACCCCAGTCGCACACTCTTGCAGTTAGGCAGTCTTGCCGGTACTCGGGTGGTAGTCAGTGTCTGACACAGTCAAGGCGTGTTGCTTTTGTCCGAGGAGCCCGCAGCTGACACAGGGCGAGATGTAATTGTGTGAATAGTTGTCAGGGCAAATCAGCGCCTCCTATCAGTCTTAGCTACACACGTACACGTACACGCACGCGCACGCACCCACACACGCACCCGCACACACACGCGCACACACACACACACGTACACGCACGCGCACGCACCCACACACGCACCCGCACACACGCGCACACACACACACACACACACACAGGTTAGACGCGAATGCGTAAACGAAACAAGACTTTGCCAGCATTGGGTACTCTACCTTGACAACCACCTTCAGTAGTGTGGAACTGGCTGGGACTAATGCAGCTGTCACATTTCACTCCTGTGTAGTTTCTGTAGCATCTGCATATTCCTTCTCCATCTGAACACACGTTGCTGAGCGAACCCTTTACCGAACAGTAGCAGTCTGCAGACCACGCATAGTTCAAATGGTACATTTGATGTTTATAATGGTAATTACACAAACAAGATATAGGCAAGCAGGCAGGCAGGCAGGCAGGTAGGGAACCATACTGCTTGGAAGAGGAAGGCTTTTCAACTGCCTTACAACCCTCTGATCTACTTACTGTCAACATGCCAAAAAGCTTCACCAAGCCCTATGAAAGTCCCAAGAAAGCCAGAGTCTTAACCATTAACTTCATCTGTGTGTGTGTGTGTGTGTGTGTGTGTGTGCGTGTGCGTGCGCGTGAGTGTGTGTGTGCTTGTGGTGTGGTATGTGTGTGTGCGTGGGCGTGTGCGGGTGTGGGGGTGCGTGTCTACGTGTGTGTTTGGGTGGGTGGGGGGGGGGGGGGGGGGAGGTGCTCAAATCAAGCCATGGAAGTTTCCTATTCATCACCCGACCCTTACCGGTACAACCTCCCGGGTTGCTGGTCGTGGCCGCGGCAAATGGTACACAAGTCTGCTTTGTGGCGATATCATTCGCAAATTGGCCATCTCTACAATATGTGCACTGTTGTCCAGAGAACGAAGCAAGGCAATTGCACTGTCCAGTGGTCTGGTTACACTTGGTGCCGCTGCGTGCGCCTATTACGCTGCAAGCACACCTGACGCAATCCTCTCCAAACCGGTAGAAGCCGGACGCGCAGTCCTGGCACCGGCTGCCGGAGAAACCTTCCCGGCACGTGCAGTTGCCCGTGTCGTCGCAGCTCTCCGCGCCATTCGCACTGCAAGCGCACGGCACACATTGGATATGACCGGAGTGCCTGAACAGATGTGGACATGGTGGCACTGGAGAATTGCAAACCAAACACAACAAACAAACAAACAAGAAAGGTAAAAACTTAGTGTCGTGTAGAAGTTAGGCATACAAAGTCTACACCAACCCAAGATTAATGGCACTTTACATTTTGTCTTTGCCCCTTTCACCACAGTCGGCGCTCACCTCATATCCCTGAGGTACGTCGACTATTTTATATTACAATCAGCAAAACGCGAGAACACCAATCGACGAAGAATTCAACGCATTCAAATGTAACCGGGGATTGTTGTGATGATCGTGGGTACGGTAACGCACCACCAGAGCACCCCGTCTCGCGAGAGCGCACCACCTTGATTTAACAGCCAAGGACCTTGATTTTACAGCCAAGGACCTTGATTTTACAGCCAAGGACCTTGGTTTTACAGCCAAGGACCTTGATTTTACAGCCAAGGACCTTGATTTTACAGCCAAGGACCTTGATTTTACAGCGAAGGACCTTGATTTTACAGCCAAGGACCTTGATTTTACAGCCAAGGACCTTGATTTTACAGCCAAGGACCTTGATTTTACAGCCGGGGAAAGGAAAACCGTACAGTTGGTATGGCAACGAAGTTTGTGTACGACGTGAGAACCTCACTGTACTTAGGAGACACCTGGCAGGTTTTTGTGTGGAGCTGCATGACCGCTTGAAGGCAAATTGAGCACGGATTGACTGCACAACGAAACCGTTGTGTTCGCTAAAAGTAAGAACGGGCTGGGCCAGAGCGCTGATCCCCTAGTTCTTCGGCGTCGGACATTACTGTGATGGCATCAAACGTTTTCGTTCCCTTCTCTTCAGGATTATACAGGGTATGGGTGAAATGAAACAAATGACATTCTATTCTAGCGTAGCTGCACTGAGCCTTGTAATGGTTTGTACTTTATTCGCGGCGGTGTTATCATTGCTGAATATTTTGTTATACTAAAAGGGTAGTTTGGAGGCGGTGACAATGGTTTCGCAATCTACACGGTCGCATGCAAAGACGCAAATCCACACCATCAAGTAGATACCTCCTTTTTTCATCTATCAAACGCTTTCTTTCCCTTCTCTTCAGGATAGTACAGGGAATGTTGGAAATTGGGGAAACATACAACAATATAGAGTTTAGAAAGGAAAAGGACATATGGAGGCGAGTTAAGAGTGACTGTCCGCCACTGTAACTAGATACGAAATACAGTCAGAAAGTGCAACAACTAGGCACAAAACTGACAGAGTGCTCGGAAGGTTCAAGGTTAAGGAGAGACCAAAGTATCTTACTGGTCTCGTCATCGTCCAGTAACAATCGACATTCTTTGTTCCGATGGGACTGTAGCCAGTGCTCATTTTCGTTGCGCTTACCTTCCCCTCGTTGGTCTCTCCTTAACCCTGAACCTTCCGAGCTGGAAGGCTGTTGGTTAGCGCACGGAGATGTTTTGAAGCTAGGTGTCAGGACGTCGAATGTCTCAGAAAGTGCCACAACTAGGCACGAAACTGACAGAGTACTGACTGTATTAAAGTACCGTAAAGTCGCGGATAAAAGCCGGGCTTATAAGCATATAAGCCGCTTTCTGCCTAAGGCTTTAATGCAAACCAGGCTTGTATGCAAACCATGCTTATATACACCACTGATATTTTTGCCAGGCTTGTATGCCAGGCATCTACGCGTGACAAGCGTAGATCTACGACTGACTACCGGTATGGCGACAGTTATACTATGCCCTGTACATAGCGCATGCACTCTTGACCTACCCGATCCGCGCTTGCATAGAAGCCAGGCTTCTTCGCGCGACAGGCTTATAATGCATTTGACCCGTTTGATTTTCAGGCTTTTATCCGCGATGTGCTTGTATGCAAACCCGGCTTTTATCCACGACTTTACGGTATCTAGTTTCAGTGGTGGACAGTTACTCTTAACCCGTATCCAAATGTTCGTTTTCCTTTCTATATTTATTACTGGCTCAACAGCGGAGTTTCAAATTACATCGAGTTTGTAAAAAAGGAAAAAGAGGACTCAACACTGCAACAGAAGTGAGACATGATTAATGTGCTAAAAATTCATAAAAGAAGCTGCAAGGTGTAAACGAATACGTTCAACATCAGGCAACACCTCTCTTTCTTCGTTTTTTACAAATTCGATTATAGTTATTTTATCCCAAATTTCCAACATTCCCTGTACTATCATGCTAAAACTTGATAATGTTCTAGCTTGTCGTGAGTGCTGTATGTTAGAACTAAACTGCCACTGACTACATGTACTGGACTCAACAGGCACCAAAATGTGATCTACTTTAGCCAGTGCCTTGCAGAAGTCTGAGAACACACAGTCAAGACTTGTCTGTGTGGGTCTAAACAGCACGCTACTTCATGGGTTAGGAGAATGGGCGCTTGTGTTGAATGTACGCACGCTGAGCTTCGGAGAAGGCGCATAGCGCTGAGGCCTGCGCCCGCGGCCTTACGCACAAGGCCTTGATGAAGGTGACAGACAGACAGACAGACAGACAGACAGACAGACAGACAGACAGACATGCATACATGCATACAGATATACAGAGATATAGACCAAAATACATTCAGGCAGCCAGAAAGACCGAAAGACAGATCGACCAACCTGCAGACAGGCAACTAGTGGCACTACTTACCGGTAAGAGTGACACGAACGGTCGTAACTGTTGTTCCAATGGAATTATTAGCAATGCATTTGTAAAGCCCTCCATGGCGGGCTGAAGCGCGTCCAATGTTGAGAACTGTCACTGCTTGTGGCTGCCAGTTGGGTTGTGCAAGGGGCGTTACTGAAACATTCGATCCATTTGGAAGCTCAACTCTAAATGAACTAATGTCAAGGGCAGGCCAGCTGGCTACTACGCATCGAACGTGTAGAGGTTGACCCACTACACCGGTGATGTTCTCCTGGGTACCAGTGAAATCAGGTGCGAATTCTATATCAACTCGGAAGTTAAAGACTATAGGTTCTTTGTTGGCTTTATTTCTAGCCGAGCAAACATAATGACCAGACGAGTTCCGGACATTCTGAATTCGAAAGTGTACACCTTCGGCATATCGTTTGCTTGGTACTGTACGTGTGCGATTATCATCATAAGTAATTTGGAGTGTGGTCGTGTTCACTCTCGGAGATCCGGTGTTAGGAGCACAGAAAATTGGTGGGATGTCTCCTAATCCCTCTCTGAAAACATGTGGGATGAAAGGTTGATGACCCAGCCCATTATGCTCCACCTTCCGGGTCTTGGTTATGTAAGCATCATAAGTCCTTATACCTAAAATTGGCTCTACAAGACAAAGGATACAGGGCACAGAAGGCACACAGGGGACACTGTATTTTCCAGAGTGTACGCCGCCCTGGATTGTAAACCGCCCTGGAGTACAAGCCGCCCTGGAGTACAAGCCACCCTGGAATACAAGCCACACTGCAGTATAAGCCGCACTGGAGAACTGGAGTAACGACCCTGCACTGTGGTTTTGCTGTTGCAAATGTGAGGTGTGAGCGAGAACACAACAAAAATGAGCCTTGGAAAGTATTGCTTTGCGATAAAACCGATACACAACAGCCCCGTACCTAAGTTTTCATTCAAGGTCTTGCAGATTTACTTACCAAGAGGTAGAATAAAGTATGTGTGTAGGCGGTGGCCGAGTATAGGACCACAGGTGTAAGCACGCCGTTTTCCATTGTAGTTTACAATGCTCAGCTGGTAGGTTGTAGTATCACCACTTTGGTGTATGATGCTTTGATAGACTGGTTGACTAAGCTTTCCATCTCTAAACGGAACATGTACACGAAACTTCGAATATGAACTCAAAGTGCCTCCCACGCCGGCGTCGAAAAACCCGTTGTTGCTAGTGTTGCAGATTGGCCCATCGAGTATAGTGGCATTAACGAAATAGTATTCCTGATGCACCTCTAAAACATAAAAGCATGAAGGTTGAGGAAACACTTTTATTTAAAAATTATGACAATAGTTCAGCACTCATGGCATTATTCCTGAAGATTGTGCCCCTGCTTATTGCCTTCTTGCTCTCATTGCGACTTGCTTTTTATTGCTACCCTCAACTTGGCATGCCTGCTGCCGTGTTACACCCTACTAGGTTGTCAATTCAAACTTTGCCGAAAGGAGCGTAGCTTCGATCATTCTATTGGACAGCTGGAACCTTTTCTGTTTTCTACGAAAATAACACAGTACCTAGGTGAACATGCGTACCGTAGTCACGCGATAAAAATGTCCACAGATGTGGGCCTGGCACTATTCAAGAGAGGGCACTATTTTTCAATGCTGGCACAATTGCGTCATCCAGCATAAAAACAAAGAAAAGCAGAGCCTAATGTTTACAGTCAACTGTCAAAACTCAACAGAAATGGCAACAAGAACTGGGCTTTTGATCCTGAAACCGCCAGCGTAATGGCATGGACAAGAACATTATCCAAAGAACACCAAACCTGCACATGCCTTTGTTACAAGCCTGCCGGGGGGGGGGGGGGGGGGGGCATTATTCAAGGGAGGACTTTATTTTTGTCACTCGCTCTTAAAGACTGGGGCAATATTCAAGAGAGGGCTCAAAACCTAATCTCGCTGCTACTGGTCCTTGAAGATGGCCTACGCAATGACCGCAATTGGCAAGACTAAATTGATTGGTTTACTCCGCGAGTCACCAGTCCCCATGTGGATGCCTGAAAATTACTGGGGAGCTTGGATGATGCGCAATTCTTTTGCCTGCGCTGTGTTGTAAAAAGCGGCAGTGACCCTCGGTACTGTACCTTGTTTCAGTGTGTTTTTTGGTCGATGTCTTGATTTTACCCCGTATTCCAGGATTTTACCCAGTATTAAAACTGTCATATTGGGTGAATGAGGTCCACAAGGGATAAAACTTTGGGCGGAATCGGAAATTTGGCCATGTCCCGGTGATATCTGGTCATCAAAGAAATTGAATCTTAAAAGGATACAGTGCAACTCCTTTCACATCTTACCACGACCATCAATTGGATTTGCTAACCCTAGTATTGGCGCTTCACGAGCCGAACACATCACAGTAGAAATCAGCAGCCAAACCCAAGCACTTGTGCGGAGAGCCACAGCCATCTTGACCTGCTTTGCAGCAAAAAATTGGTGTCCACCTGCAACATGAGCAGAAGAGAAAACACGCAAGGAAGATGCCGAATGCGCTCTCCATAACAGTAGGATTCCATGCTTTCCGTTCCGTCATCCTTGTTTTGGATCTCTCACACGTTTCAAATAGTATGCACGCATCTTCATATTCACACGCACGCACGCACGCACGCACACACACACACAGTGAGAGCTTTCACATTCACCTGCCACTTTCTCGCACACATGTTGGAGACACACACGAATGATGTAACCATGACATCATTCCGCCTCTACAATCGTTTGTTCTAGTTATAGTACACCATGTGATGGAGTTCCACCGTTGATTGTTAGCAAGAAAGTTCTGGAAGTTTTGATATACTGTAAAATAATATACAAAATTTCGGCGCTGCAAAATTTTGGCACTTCACGTTTTTTGACATTTCGGCGGCGATTTATTTTCGGCGTGGGGTAGAGGGCATGGTATAGTGCGGCAGATGCTGTGAAAAATTTCATCGGCGTTTTAATTTAGGCGTTTTGGGTCGGTGCCGAATATAGCCGAAATTAAATAGCTGCCGAAAATTTGTATATTTACAGTAATCATATTTCGTTTTGATATCGTTATGAGTACACATCACCTTTATACGTCCCAGTATACTCTACATCACGAACAGTCTACCGTCTTTCTGACATTGCCACTCGAACTTGACAATAGAAGCAGGTATGTGCAGTTACGTTGAGCCATTGTGTTTTTATCTTATTTTTGGGAATCCTTCCCGGAAGCAAATGCTGGTTTTTATACATTTGTGTAATTACTCAGCATTATTTGCAATAATCATAATAATAAATTCTCTACACATACAAGTAGTTGGCCTCCATAGCTTCTTTTTTGAGACGATTTTCCCTGATGATAAATCTCAAGAACATTGATCAGGAAACTCAATTTCAACATTGTTCTCTTTCGTCCTTGCGTAATGTCCGCTTCGCTGATACTAGTTGTTGCTGTAATAAAGTTATTGTCTCCTCGTCGCCTTTTCGAGTGCATGTTTAATCTTATTTATCGCTACTTCTTTTCTTTCCCTCATCCTTTCTCTCTCTTCCTCATCTATGACCACTAGTCTTACTTTTTCTGCTCTCATTTTGCACATATTCAGCAGCGACACCGAGACCAGTATGGTCGGCAGAGCCAGTTATCTGTCACCCACTCCACCATCTCCCTTGGGGTTGGGAGCTGCTCGATATGTGCTGAAAGACCATCATTTGGTCCCTTCCGTGTACTGTGCAGAGAGTGCATTTCGTGAAGCAAAAAGACAGCTAAAGCAGGGGCGTCTGAAGGTATTTTAGTGTGGTACGGTCAGCCAATGACGTAGCTGTGCACCGGTACGGAATGCAATGTACAACTGCTCGACTATAAAATCAAATTGTGTGCAATTTGAGCGATTCATTGCAGAAAATCGTTGCTGGACCGGGAATTCAAGTGCCGAAATAAAGCCTAGAGAATTAACTAAAAAGATCCGTTCTGGCAGAAAGTGTGCTGGTTTTCAAGGGTTCTGGATAAACAAGTGCAGGATCAGAGAGGGGTAACTGTAGTGCCCGTCCGCTGCGCATAGGGGTGTTCGAATTGTCTTCATCAACTGTTCGAACAAATTTAAAAAAGGTTAGCTGAAGTGTCCCATTAAAAAGGTTTCTATTATTTTAGAGTTTTTCAGTGAAATTGTCATGGCGATGATAACGTCTGATCAGATCGACCATCTCCACGTACTACGTGACGTAGCAATTCCAAACTCTTCTAAACTAATCAACCTCTCCCATCAGATGAGGTTGTGGAGTTTTGAGGAGTTTCGTTTTTCTGAAGAGGCCAATAGGGCTTGAAAGTGATGACGTCAAAAACGGCCAGGGAGTAGTAAGTTGACATCAGATTTCTATTTTGGATCCACTAAGGTGTGACTTTGCTATTGCCTAAGTATGTGGGTGCATAGCAACCCACTCATGTCGCATGCAGGTGTGACTTTATTTTGCCACCAGTTGTAACCCCGCCCCCAGTAGCCAAATCAGTCAGTTTCACTGGCTACATCACCTTGTTGTGAGTAAGACCGCTTGAAATGTGCTTGGACCCATACAAAAACTGGATCCAAGTGTACCCAGTTTTTGAATTTTTGAAATTGTTGCTATGCTGTGACATAGCACTTTCTAGCCCTATAAGGCTACTTCTTCAGAAAATCGAAACTCCTCAAAAAGTCTGTTTCGAACGCGCCAATAGACTTTAATACATGAGAATGGGAATGGTTTAGGCTAGGAGGCCTCCCAGGGCTGGAACAGTTTTCGGCCACAAGGAAAGTCGGTCATGTACTGCTGCTGCCTGTATACACTGTCACATTAAACCTTGCACGAATAGAATTTGGCAGTACCGAACTTTTAGGCCAAAATGTTCACGCCAAAAATAGACAAAATAGATATGCGCCGAATATGTGTCGCCTCTAATACAGTGATGCTAACACAATTCAGGCTCTTGAGCATTTTGAAATTTTTCACTGCAGTCTATGCATTGCAGACTGGCACCTTAACTTTTAGGTGTCTCCCGCACATAGTTTAAGATATCGTGAAAACAACAGTACACCTTGCATTCTGTGACCTGTGCAATTACTCCTTGCCACATTTGAGGCCAGAAAAGTCCAAGAACAGAGCAATAGAACTTCAGCCAGGTTATACAAAATTAGGACAGGTGTGCCATGGCAAAATGTACGGAGGAGCAGATCCCAAACCCAGATTTTTGAGATTTAAGGTGGGTTTTTGATCTTCAATTCGGCCCAAATTGGGAATTTCAAAAGCCTATTTTCGATGAGTGGACTGTAGTATACATGTGCTTTTTTATTTTATTTTTTATTTTTTTACTATTTTTTATTTTTTACTATTTTTTACTATTTTTTTACTAAAAAACACTTTGTGCCTTATCATCCGGTGAAATACACATGTATTATGTACAGGCAAAATCAAATGAACATGGACATCACCTGATGATAAGGCATGAAAGTATACTAGTGAACATTTTTGGATATTTTCAAGAGCCTGAACTGCATCCTGCTTAGTAGTAGTAGTTGTAATAGAATTAGTTATTCGAAGTATCATTGCATTCTTGTCGCCAAGGAAACTGTTCACTTTTATAATAGTACAGTATCATTCTTCCCCCCCCCCCCCCCCCGATCCACCCACTCATAACCGAAACTATTATCTTCATTTTTGTAAAAAATCGACAACTATGGACGGCCCCTAGCTAGCATTGTAGCACAGCCATGTTATATTTTAGTGCTGCAACTCTTAACCGTAAACTGCAATATTACATCCCAACAACCCATCCTGAACAACGGAAGTTGACAAACAAGTGAGACTCAGAAAAGGCGCTGGCCTTAAAAAAAGGAAGGTGTGCATCGGACTACAGTCTGTATCGGCTATAGCGTACCCTTTTGATTTCCGTGATTTTATCACTATAACCGATGCATCACTATAATATATTATGCGATATGATCGATTTTTTTCTTCTTTTTTCGATCCACACGTGAAAGGCCAGGAAATACTTCCAGCATGGCGTTTTGACAAATGAGCATGTTGCATAGTTGACAGTGCCCGCATTTCCATAAAAAAATTCTGACATGTACATGTACAAGTATCACTATAAAAATAAGGAACGTGATGAATGTTAAAAAATAGGGCCTTTGATATTATTGCTACAGTCAACTTCGCCAATAACGACTGCGGATATAACGACAATTCGCGAATAATGACAGAATTTCCATGCCCAGAGCAAAGTCCCATCCAATTGTAATACATATAATAAGACTTCGGGTATAACGACACTTCGCAAATAACGACACTTTTCTGATGCCCCGCCGAGTGTCGTTATGCGCGAAGTTGACTGTACATGTATTTTAAAGTTATCACTATAGCCGATAACAAGAGTAGATAAACAAGAGTGTGCAACTCGCGGATGGGTTGGCCCACGGCGGAATTTTTTGTTGACGTAATCTTTTCGACGACGCACGCGCTGCGAGCCTTTTGGAGAGTTTTCCCTCGTGCACTTGGCTGGGCTTTACACTACAAGGTCGGTGCCCAGCACGTGCTCTCACACTGCTCTGCAGCAAAGCCGCGTTTCTCTGAAAAAAGGTGACGTAAACAAAAAATTCCGCCGTGGGCGCGGGGTATCTGCAGATTGTGCAGGAGAGATCCGGAGTTGCACACTCTTGTTTATCTACTCTTGCCGATAATAATATAGTGTGTTATGCATGTTTTGATTCTTTGTTGCCATCATAATATCCGATATATCCTTACATCCGATAATATTGGTTATAGTGATATTTTTATTGGATAAAATACGTTTTGCTTTTGATATTTCGTACCAATATCACTGTAGCCGATATATTCTTATATCCGGTCACTCTATAGCCGATACAGACTCAGTGTTGCCACATCATTATAGCCAAATATCAGTAGACTGAAAAAAATAAAATGCACATCCGGGGGCTTTGCCCCCGGACCCCCCCCCCCTCTCATAGTAACCCTAATATATTATATCGTAGAATCCAGCGAATAAACCCACCCGCGCATAAGCCTAGGCCAAGTTCGAACATCGCCAAGCTTCGTTGTACAAACCACCAGCGGGATTCTACAGTGCACACGATTTCCCCCAGACAGCTGATGTTTGTATTGTAGGAGAGAGCTATGGTAACACTCGTAATGAGCAGTAAAAGCCAAAATTCTGGACCAAGACTTCTAAACCAAGCACAAAGGTCAAGTTTGGACACTTTCACGGCTGTTGTCGGCAGGAGACGGTCAATTGTCGGCAGGTCGTGACAGGCCCCAAAAATCGGCAGGCTACTGACATGTCGGCAGGTGTGGCAACACAGCAGACTGTACTTTGGTCAGTTCCACCATGAAAACTCGATCAATCAATCGATTTCGGTCTGTGTACAATCGATGCCGCTAGCACAAGCCCCAAACCGAAGGACATGTACGCTTATACATGTACATGTAGCATTGCGAAGCTTACCATGCATGCCGGTCGGTGTGCTTGTCGCCGCCCGGAAACTTCTGTCGCTCATCATAGACTGTGAGGAGCAGTTCGAAGCTGAAAGGAGCAGCACATCGAGTAGAGAAAACGAGGGAGAAGGACAAGGTTGACACAGCTATTAGTAGTGCAGCACAATGGCGCCTATACGTTCCGTGTCTATAATGATACCTGCTTGCACACTTACAACGGAATGAGTCGACAAGACCCCGTATTCAGGAACGGTGCTCAAACGCTACCGCTGATAAGGAGAGAGCGGGTGAGAGACAACTGTCTGGCAACAAGTCAGGAGCTTGGATCTACAGCACAACTACTTTTTCTTCCTGCTCCAAAACCTTCAGATTAAGAACTGATGAAAACGACAGGAGTTCTTCTTGATATAGGCTGTGGCGCCAAGAAGAGCGCTGTGAGCTGTGGTGTCTGCAAGAAGTGCGATGTGTACTTAGCAGGGGCGAAAGCAAATCCGACAGAGGCCTAGAGGGGCTGCAGGTGGGCTACATATGTCATTTGGTCCACAATTACACGCAGGATTGCATGTCGCGGGGCTCAAAACGGCGCCAGCAACTACTGTGGTAGTCCCCAATCCTGTCCATGTATGGCATGTAGTAACGTGAGGCGCGAGGCGTGCAAGCTACATTATGTAGAGCTTGCTGCGTACAAGGTCAAGTGTATCAGAACGTGTGTGTTCTTGCCTTGTCGTACCAAGCTAGAGTACATAACCCCCCAGACTGTGCAACTCCCAGGCCACATGCCCTGCCGTCCCGACAGAATTTCAAGTTGACGTCATTATTTATGACGCAATGCAATCCTCCTTGTACCAGTGATTTACAAAATGTGTACGGGTACCGGGTGTCAACGCATCACACGTTTTTCTTTGCAATAATTATTTGTACAGGATCGATCGGTTTCGGCAAGAGTAGATAAACAAGAGTGTGCAACTCGCGGATGGGTTGGCCCACGGCGGAATATTTTGTTGACGTAATCTTTTCGACGACGCACGCGCTGCGAGCCTTTTGGAGAGGTTTCCCTCGTGCACTTGGCGGGGCTTTACACTACAAGGTCGGTGCCCAGCACGTGCTCTCACACTGCTCTGCGGCAAAGTCCGCGTTTCCCTGAAAAAAGGTGACGTCAACAAAGAATTCAGCCGTGGGCGGGGGTATCTGCAGATTGTGCAGGAGAGATCCGGAGTTGCACACTCTTGTTTATCTAGATCTACTCTTGGTTTCGGTCAACCACAGGTTCCGGATTCCTCTGATAATCCGGCCGTGTACAGTACGCATTGCATCATCAAAATGACGTCAACTTGAAATTCTGTCGCGACAGCACCCATAGTGCACTCTGGGGGGTAATAGGGAGGTTCTGCTATACGTGAAACGTAGAGAAATCACGTAGAGAGCAGGTGTCTGGGTTAGAGTCTACGGCTTCGCGTGTTTTGGCTCCAGATTTCTACGCGGAGATGGGGTTCTCTACGTTGTGGCACACGCAGAGAAAATGCGTACGGATATGCTGGGTATCGATCAACTGCATGCAGAAAACTGCCAAATATGGAAGGGGGAAATCCCAGTACACATTCCACGTGACTTCTCTGGGTGAAACGTAGAGCAGAACAGCATTTCTTTACGTTACGGGAACGCGAAGAAAGTTCGCGTGATTCTTTGCGTCGCGTTCCCAAAACGTAGAGCAGAACCTCCCTCATGTACTCTTGGTCGTACTCGAAGGCATATATGCATACAGTACTGTAGCGAGATCTTCCGGGCGTCATGCGTACTCAAGGGCGCTGAAATTCGACGCAGTGCTTTCACGAGAAAACGACAACGCAATTTCGGGCATCATGCGTATGTACGCACGCTGAAATTGACCCAGTGCTTTCACCACAACGCCCGGAAAGTTACAAGTTTTCGATCTCGTATTTCTTCAACAACCCTAAAGGCCTAATAAATCCAAAAAAAGCATAAAGCCAAAAAAGACAATGGCCCCCGGCCCGCGGCCCGGCCCGGCGGATAATGCTAGCATATCGAGCATATTTAGCACTTTCTGGAGACTAGCACTGCGCTAGCATGATCCGGCAAGTAACTTAGTTTTGCTGAACACCAGCATATTCTTGCGAAAAATAGCATGCTAGCTAGCTACTGACTAGCTCATGACTACTGTATTGCAAAAAATATAATGTGGAATTTTTGTGAGAATTCACAATGCCCTCGACCTCGCGAGCACTATTATTTTTGCCCTTGCCTGCGGAGTAATAATAATTCGGTGCTTCTTATACATGTAACTGTTCTGTTTCGTAGAACATGACTTACATACATGCTGATGTACATGTATGCTGCATGTACCGGTACGCGGTATGCTGTTATCGATCTGCAACAGGGAGTCGTAAAATACCACGGTACTATTTTACGACTCCCTGATCTGCAACAGTAGTAATCTACACCATTATTTCCATTTTTCCGAAGCAGAACTCAAGCATGTAACAGTCCTTGTTATCGATTGCATCCAAAGTGTTGGAAAGGATAGTCCACGAGCAACTCACACGATATCAAACACCCTAGTAAAATAAATAAAATAATAATAATAATAATATATCTCCTTTCCCTCTCTGACAGCATCTTTCTTTTTTTTCCCTTTTAGCTTGCCGTGGTTGGCTATCACCTGACCTCTCATGTTTATTGGCAGTCTTCGGACGGGCCAGGAGATGTTGAATAAATAAATAAATAAATAAATAAATAAATAAATAAATAAATAAATATCTAGTCCAGAGCAATTTATTCCCGCCAACTCAATTCGGCTACAGATCCCATCACTCCATATCCGACGCTAGCTGTGGAAGGTATCTGTGAGGCCCGTATGAATAAACTCAACACAGGTGTAGCCTTTGTTGATATTTAGAAAAGCGATCCTGTCAGCTTTTCTATTATTGTGTTCACATGGCAGAAAAAACGACACCGCTATGCTACGTAAGTTTCTACGTAAGGTGCTCGGTACTTTTTTTTTTTTTTTTTTTTTGAAAGTGGTTCCAAGCCTCTTGTACGGGCAAAATAAACACAAGTGCAAGGTCAACAGCTTAGTACCGAGAGAAAATGAGCTGAAATGGCTGTGAAAACAGTCTTATACGGAGGAAGCTACAATGGCTGTGAAAAGGTGCTCGGTACTTCACTTAGGCTACGTTAGTTTCTACGTACGTAAGGTGCTCGGTATTAGATCTACCAACGCGTGGTAGCCGCGTGCTGTGCACGTGCATGGCAGACATTGTGTTGCATGCAGTGCAGTCCGTTTTCGGATGTGCATGCGCGAGGAACTTCCTTCTTTGGAACTGCTTCTTGCCTGAGCTGTTTCGGATATTTCGTGTCCTGGCTTATTTCGCTTCGGCTCTGCTGAGACCTCTTTTCACGGAATATTACTCAATGACAGGTGAGTTGACCAGTTCCCTTTGATTCATTTGCTTGTGTTGACTCTTTCATTTACGAAAAGGGTGCTGATTTTAGGTGGAATTCAATAAAATTAATAATGGAAAAGCTGACAGGATCTCTTTTCTATATTAGAAGGCCTTAGGCCTGTGGGGATTGCCCTATCAAAAATTTGATAATAATAATAATATTATTAACGTTTCTGCTGTCGAGGCCTCCTTTTACGGGATACTCAATGACAGGTGATTTCTGAATTGACCAGCTTCCTTCGATTCATTTGCTTATGCTCACCCTTTCATTTACGGAAACGCGTGCTGATGTTATTCGGATTTAGATCCATTCGTATCTCTTTGCCCTTGCCAACAGTGTGCGAAGAACGCGAGTTCACCTTCTTGACGGTAAGGCTTATGTTGCTGCTGAGGCTTAGATGTGTTGTCGAAATACTCATGTTCATTGTACATTGGTACGTTACAAGTAAGGCACTGGTCATGATTACTTCCGGCATTCCGTGCTCCGATCATAGGGTAGAATATGAATCAGTGGCATAGCATCGTTGGCAGTTCCCAATCTGGAGGGAAAGGTTCAAGGACGCATTGGCCGAGTACTAGTATGCAAATTAAATTTGCATATCAGGGAAAATCTCCATTATGGAGAGGTTCATGCCTTCAGTGACTTGTTTGCTTCATACGAAACAAGCCAATGGGTGCAGTCTCGTCTCGTGAAAATCTCGTACGATCGGATTTGTTTACTCGAGTCTGGGCTGTTTGATTTGTGAATAGCGCCAAGATTGCACTGCCCCAAATAAAGTTGCGTGCCGGTAGAGCAAGAATTACGATCTGCAATCTGTTTGTAGTACCTGCAAGAATGTGCTGTACATGTATCGTATATTCTCTGTTGTTGTTTCAGTTGCCGTCATGTTGCTAAAGAAAGGTTCAATGACTCATTTCTTTCATAAAAGACGAGTCAATGGTTTGGTCTGGCTTCGAATCTTTCGCTGCAGAAGAAATCTATTCGTGTCTCTATTGAAGAAATAATTGTATTCACTCGTTATAAAATAGGGTTAAGACAAACTCACAGAGCAAATGCCATCGGTCCCTTGATGTTCGTCCTAAAGAGGTTTGACTGGATATCATTCATACTCCCCCGAAGTCGTGTAACATGTTATTATTATGGTGTGCCTTGTTTATCTCTCAGTACCTCCAACGATATATCCTTGCCCCTTATATTCTATATATATACTGCAATGTATTTGTTTACATTTTAATACATGTTTATTGTTCCTACTTTGCTGTGTTGTTTTAGACAATCGTGGACTTGTAACACTTTGAAGTCATTGAACTGCTTCCAAAATTTTTATCGACATCAACAGGATTACGATTTCACTACAATGATGATGCCGGATGACCTTATCACGACAACCCATGACTACAATTATAAACACAGAATCAACAAAAACATCTGCGGCACGCACCTTGTTACATTTCACAAGTAAATGTGATTTAGGGTGTGTGGACACCTGAATTTTCTGAAAGACAAGACAATTTTATGACAGAGTCATGAAATTCTGCAACATCCACAGAATGACCTGCGTATAAAAAAAGTATCACCGCCACTACCCATATGATTCCCCTGCAGAAGAACATGAATACATGTATGCAAGACTAGTTCCATTTTCTGCAAGAAAAGGCTTGCACATCAATGCGTATATATACTACGGTATTGAATTTGATATTATTTTATTATTATTATTATTAACTTTTATTTTACTAGGGTGTTTCCCACAGACCTATGGTCTTATATGATACACGTACATAGGGGCTCCCGTAAGAAGACCATAGGTCTGTGGGAAACACCCTAGTAAAATAAAATAATAATAATAATAACATGTAGAGGCGCTACATGTAGGCCATCATTTATTTGGGCATTCCATTGGTGACACAATTATATCCTTTAGCCAAAAAAAAACAAAAGAAATTATAGCAATAAAAACTGCTTTATGGCAGTTTTCTAAAAAAA